GCATCCCCATAAATTCTAATGTCCTAGCTGAATCTATTAGCAGACCAATACAGGCAACATATTTCAAAGAGAAAGTCCAGTTCTCCTATTAGTGCTGCCCACAACCCCCCACCCCTCCTGTAATACTCTTCATATCCTTCCCTATGCCACCCTGTCAGCTCCCCCAGACAGCTCTCAACAAGACAAAAGACTCTGAAGCCTTCTTTTCTTCCAGTGAGAGAAACTGACTTCTCTCCCAGAGGCACCTCATGCTGCCACATGGTACAGTTTTTCATAGACCTGCCACATGAGTTTTCAGGCATGTTTAGAGATGGCAGAAACCCGTATGTGGAACCACCTCAAGATTAAGAAGAAAAAAATACTAAATATGAAGTGGCTGGCATAGCATCTACTCAGTGGATGGTGGATTTTATATATATATATGTGGGAATGATATAGAGAGGATTAGCACAGTGCCTGCCCAAGATAACACACAAAGCAAAATTCACAAAGCACTCTATAGCATTAGTAGATGGAAACACTAATTACTCTAATTTGGTCCTTGTACATTGTATACTTGAGTAAATTTATCACACTCTACCCCATGAATTATTATATGTAAATATTTTTAAATATATTTCTTTTGAATTTAATTAATAGCCTACCATATTCTATGCACTAGACCCTATGGAGGAAAACAAGAGAAATATGGTCTGAGGCCTTCCATTAAGACCATTGTAGAAGAGGGGCAGAAAAATTTAAGAGCCAAGAAGGAGGTACACAACCATACAGAAATAGAGTCCTACAGGGTCCTGGGACCTTGCTCATATGAACCTACAGCAATGGTGTCAGCATGCACAAGACCCATACAAACTCAAGCAGCTAAAACCCCAGCACAGAGCTGTGGAAATGGATGGCAGGCCCCAATCTTAGTTAAAGAATTATAGGCAGATTATTGCTGGGTGAGGAAGAGCTGATCTTAAAGGGAAGGACTTTAGATAGGTTGACTAGACCTCGGTGGATGAACTTGCACTGAGAGATGTTTGGGGACATTAATTTGACAGACTAGGCCTTAACACAAATAACAGAATATATGAATTCCAGTGGGGGGGGTCTGTGGGAGGGTTCCAGTGGAGAAGGGGGTATGAAGATGATTAAGATGTGCTGTATGAAATACACAAAAATTCAATAAAAATTACAAGAAAATGATGATGATGAGGAGGAGGAGGAGGAGGAGGAGGAGGAAGAGGAGCAGGAGGAGGACGAAGATGAGAAATGAAAGGGAAGACACTTGGGCAACACTGTTCAAGTTTAAGCACAATGAACACTAAAGGAAAAGATGAAAAAAAGTCTAGAGTAACTTTGAGGAGAAAGGGCTCCCTCTCTCTCCTGATATGAAACTTGGTAGGTGTTCAATCCTTTGATAAAATAGCAACACCATTCCTGGAGCAAGCCACATTCAGGGACAGCTGGCTGGATAGAGTGATGAGAAGAGGAAGGGGACATAAAATGAGCCCATAAGGACCATAACAGCCTTTCAAGTCCAATCATGACTGCTCAGGCCAGAGTGGTAGACATGCAGAGCACAAGGAAGGGAACAGGCACAAGCCAACACAAATGCACACTGGTGAAGCATCCCAGTACAGTGGACATCTAGCAAGTGAAGGAAGTCTGGAATGGCTGCCTACCCAGGCATGAAGGCTGGCACAAGGTCATAAAAGATTCATGACATTGTCCCACATGACCCTTCTCCCTAGTAGGGCTGGAGCTGCTGTCATAAATCTTCCCTTGACTACTATCTGGAGATTGAAGGACAGCTGCATATCTAATTTTAGGTTCATGAAGGCAAAGTAGAGCAGGTTTAATCTCCACAGGAGGAAGGAGTCACAGTGGCACCACAGTGGGCACTGGCTCCCACAAAAGCATCCCAGAATAACTCTCCCATAGCTTGTAAGTGCTTGGAGGACAATACTAGGTGGGGCTATTTATGTTTCCTGCCATGATCCCTTATCCCCTTCCTGGAAGACCCTCTCAAAGCTACAGGGAGGTCTGGCATCCGAGCACAGACAGTTGAAAAGAATTCATTTGGGTTCATCTTGGGATTTGGGGGATGGAGTTCTTGGGAGCTGTCTGGTCCCAAACAGGCAGCCAGTTACCCAGTAGTGTCTCTATTAATAATGATTGGCATATCCTAGCATGTCAAAGCTTAAAGGATTTTTTAGCCACGATGTCTAATGTCTACAGCAAATCCACGAGGTAAGACTTGGTAGTCACACTTTGAGAAATGCCAAAGTTCAGTTAAGAAAAGTTAAATGGCTTGCTAAGGAATCAGCTAGGGCTGCTGGGAGGGCCTTCTGACTTCAGCACCTTTGTTCCTTATCTTCTGGTTGAAAAATAAGGTTAAGGTAGGAAGCGAAGTAGCTTTGGAAAAAAATATCAGAAACAAGAGAAATAGGTATTTAGCCTTTAAGAGGAAATGGCCATTCAGCTGAAGAGAAAGATTCCCTATCATTAAGCAAATTGTTCCATGGCTATGAACCATTTAGGCTTTAGAAGAAATTTAAGCAAACTTTAACTGCTTATGATTGTGTTACATATGGTAGTTTTAGAAATAAAATGCTGAAAAAAAGACTGTATAAGATACTCCAATGGCGCTTTACAGCCGAGGCGCATGTATCAGACAGCGCTTAAATCCTAACTCTTTGCTTAAAATCCTCAGCAGGTATCTTAACTTCTTTCAGCTTCAATTTTTCCCATAAATTTGAAGAAAGTAATAGCATCTGCCTCAAAGAAGAGAAGAGAAGCTCAAATGAGATAACTCATCCTAAGAGCTTAGCACAGTGCCAGGCACTCGATAAATACCATGGAAATGACCATTATATTATAATGTCTGACAAAAAGGCCTCTCCTGTGTCAGTGCTTGGTTTTAATTTGGCATTTGGCTAAAGAAGAAGAATCATCTTGCACAAATTTATAAGAAAAATCAGATATGCAGAAGTGGTGGGCATGGTACTTGAAAAATATACTTGAGATCCCTCAGAATTTCCTACTCTGTTTCCACTGATTTTTCTGTGGCACTTTGGTCAGATCTGTACCTGAATTTGACTCTTTGCAGTAGGAAAAGAATGGATTTGACAACACTGGGCATCCCTTAGAAGGAGTTTTCCGTGCTGTGTTGCTTTCTCCTCCCAATCTTGGCCTTAAGAGTGAAGACAGCAAAAGCTGTCAGGGCTGGAGAAAGAAGGAACATGGTGCCTTGATACCCAAGGTTGGCAAGGACTTCCTAGGAAAACCCTCTGAGAATCATGGTGCCTAAATGGCAAAAAAGAGATGATTGGGTGAGACCCACATGTGAAAAAAGCCCAGTGAACTTCACATAGTGTGTCCAAAGAAACCAGCCATTCTCATGAGAACATCAAATTAGAAGAGGCCTTGTGAACAGGGCAGAAGAACAAAGCTCATGAGTTAGTGACCACAAGATATGTTGACGCTGCAGATGTCAGCAGCAAAGGCCAGTGCACAATAACAAATATGAGACGTACGTAAACCTATACCTCCCAATGAGCACAGGTGATTAGGGATGAGCTGTTCTTTGCATCAACATTCTGCACTACCACTGTTCCTTAGAATTTAGAGCATATGCCCAGCAAAGGGGAAGAGGAAGGAAAGCCATAATGTACCAAAGAATCAGTACTCTGATTCAGATACCTGATGAGATGCTGTTTTACATTTTTGTCATCTGATGCTAATGGAGTTTAAGGCTAAAATAAAGTAGAACTACAGAAAAACAAAGGGATTGTTTTCATTTGTTTGTGGCTAAACATATCTATTATACAAGGGTCCCTTGGTAGAGTTGACTTGACTCCTACTCTGCAATAAATTTCTACTCTAGAGAGTAAATTTCTAAAATGAATTACATAGCAGTCTAGAACCTCACAAATCTAGAGTTCCCTGGCCAAATCAATTTTGGAATGGATACACTAAATAACCATCTTGGGTATTCCCAACAGGTATAAGTTTTACAAAAGGCTCAGTGAGATCTTATACTAAAGAAATTTATTCACTTTATTTTACCAGGATTTCTCAATTTATTTGATAAGGCCACTATTTTTGACTGATATGTAATGTATTCCACTCTAGGAAATGCTGGGGTAGAAAACTGTAGGTGAGAATGGATGATAATGGTCTAACTCGGGTGACCCAGGAGAAAAATAATCAGGTAGAAGATGAGCCTAAGATGAATGCTAGGATGCAGAAAATATCATGGCTGGGCATGGAAATGCTACTTGCCAAATGACCTCATATATCTTAGAAATTGGCTGAATTTCTTCTAATATTCTTTCAAGGTCCTCGCTGAGTCACTCCCATAAATGATGGATCTTAATGGTTCTGAATATCTCTAAAGCCTTTATGTGAAACCATCTCCCTTTTTAACTTGGTGATTCACTCCACTCTAGGAAGCAGAGGCAGAGAGAACAGGCCAAACTTCATTCTCCAATCATAAAAATACATATGAAGACTAGCATACAACCATGATGAACTATTGTAAGACCCAGAACTCATCTCAGCAGTTTAACTAGCTCATTCTTCCGAGACCTTGTCTCTTCTGGGCTGTCTTTTGTGGACTATGTTCATTTCTCATTGTAGAAAAAAAAGAATTTCTCCGAAAGTATCAGACTAAAATCAACAATGACAGAAAAAAAAAAAGCATGAGGTTTTCAGTCTAAAAGATATGGATTCAAATCTCAATTCAACCATTCCCTAGAACTGTAGCCTTAGGTTCTCTGCATTTTAGCTTCCTAGTCTGAAAGTAAAGAGAGTTATATACTCATTCAGGATTATTGTGAGAACAAGAGAGAGTTAGCAACTCATGGGAAGGCAGAGATGCAGATTGAGATGGGATATAATCACCATACATCTAAAAGGAGGAAGGCACCAAGCACTAAGAAGATCTGAGTGGAGCTTCTCCATCTCCCCATCCATCACACAGAGGTCAGGGGCACTGTGAAGATGCTCTGTACCTGATTGTTTGCGTGCGCTTTCTGGTATAAGGAGAAATGACCTTGAAAAGCAGCTCCATGGCTCCATTAATTCCCAGCATGGCTCCTGTGGTTACTGAGAAAGACAAAAATCATAGTAGTTATTGTCACAAGTATATGGGTTAAAAGACTGAACTATTTAAAACTTTAAGTAGGCTCTTACCTGTCAATGAAAAATAAAACAACAAAACCGTATAGGGGCAGTCTAGGAAGTGAGGTAGCTCTCTTTATTTTAGTTTCAAATTCTCTTAACAATTTTAACACTTAATCTCCCAAGATTAAGACAGTGACATGACTGTACCTCTATTAGAATGCTAATAGAGGAACCCATGGGGCCCTCCTGCTCCATGAGATGACTAGCCTTGGAAATATTTCCCTTTCACCTCATTGGGTTTTATAAAAAACAGTCATAGATCTGAATGCTAGAAAGAAAATCAAAGAGGCATCAAATAAAAACTTCTGGATGCCAATGCCATCTCCAAGGATGCCCTGCCCCTCTTCAATATGTCTCATACACCACTCCACGCAGCTGATTTAGGAAGCGCTTAGACCACACAAAAAAGAAGAGGAATCCATGGGATACAGAAGTCTAGAAAGGGACAGCACATGCAGTGAAAAGAAGAAAGATCATCTGACAAAATGACACTTTTCTCTTTCTTTCACTGCACTGGTGTTTCCAAGATGGAAGACCTACACCTGCCTTATATTTGGGGCTAGGGTTGTTCTGGAAAATGTGAGTGATTAAGAAGTCTTAAAGAAGCAAAGAGAAGAACAGTGATGTCTTAGCTGACTTGTGTCAAGCCTCAGGAAAGGCTAAATGCAAATCTGGAAGCTGTAACACGTTTCACCCCAGTGCTGTCTACCAGTCAGAGACTGAGACTGATGCCTTGGTTGTTACTGAGTGTGTTCCTGGAGCATCTCCTATGCCTGCATCCCTCCTGAATATAACACAGACCACTGCCATCCAGATCAAATGAGCAGATTTGGCACCCTGATTCATCAATCTTCCCACTCTTGTGGCTACTAACTCATCCCTTATTTCCAACGTGGGAAAATACACTAGAACAAACTTTTGTTAGATAATTCAACAAAATTCTGATATTAAGTAGAATTAGGGAAAAGATGGTTAAGATTTCTGATTCTAACATGGAAGACTAGACTCAAAACTGGGAGATATTATAAGAAGAAACCTCACTGAGCTCACCGTTTCAGGCTCTCTGCTTAAAGTGGCCTCCTGGGTGCTGCCAGCAAGTTTGTTCACTGTTACAGACCCATTATGGCTCCAGCTGAACGTGCTGAAGGAAGTAGCTGTTTAGAAAGCTTGCTGGACCAATCAACAGTGGGTCACAATTTAGCAAAGAAACAGGATCCATGGACTTTTTGAACTCTGCCTTTTATAAGTAAGCTCAAAGAGAGGTGTTGATTTTTAAAATCTCTTATGAAACAGCTAGGTAGTCTAACAAACACGGACTAGCATATGACACAAATGGTCACCTTCTCATACCCACAAACGAATCCCAGGCTTTCTCAGGAAGGTACTTGGCTATACAGCCATAATTACATATAACTAAGGAAGGCATGTCATTCAACCTAATTATTCTTTTTTTTTTTTTTGGTATTTTTGAGACAGGGTCTCCCTGTAGCCCCAGCTGTCCTGGAACTCACTATGTAGACCAGGCTGGCCTTGAACTCACAGAGATCCATCTGCCTCTGTCTCCTAAGTGCTGGGATTAAAGGCGTGCACCACCATGCCTGGCTCAACCTAATTATTCTTTAAGAAACCATAAGATACATCAAATCTTATACTGCTGGAAAGCTCCTAATGGGGGTGCACACTTCCTAGCTACTCATCGGTGAGGCTTTTCCTTTATAAAAGGTCCACAGTTTCTCTTTTCCTGTCTGGAGATGGGTTTTTGTAGGTTCATTCGACTTTTCCCAAATGCTGTATGATGGGTCAGTATCTGTGTGTGTGTGTCTGTGTGTGTGTGTGTGTGTGTGTCTATGTGTCTGTGTATCTGTGCATTTTGTGTTATATGTGTTGTGTCTGTGTGTGTTGTGTTGTGTGTATATCTGTGTATGAGTGTGTGTGTTGTGTTGTGTGTGTATCTCTGTGTGGTGTGGTGTGTGTGTGTGTGTGTGTGTGTGTGTGTGTGTATGTGTGTAGGCTCTGAGGCTCTGGTTGTGAATAATGAGTCAAGAATCCGTCCCGTTATTCTCCAAGAAGATTTCTTTGTTATGAGTCTCCCACGCTTATTAACAGAATGCAACAGTGGAAACTGAGATACTGAGCCATGTAGAGTGGTATGTGAGTGCAATCCCAGCCTTTGAGAGGTGGAGGTAGAAGGATATGGAGTTCAAAGTCATTCTTGATTATGCAGTGAATCCATGAGGCCAAACTTGGATACCCAAGACCATGTCTTAAAGATATTTTAGTAGTCCTTAAGATATGTAGAAAAATAAAGCTGCCTAGTTATTATGTATATTCTTCATATGATTCCAAAAAATTAGAGAAAAGAGTAGAGCAGGAAAAGGAAGTGACCTGCCACATGGTGGTCTTACCAATGAACATGATCTTATTTATCCCATCTACCAAATCTATGAGGTTTACTATGAATTGTGCTCCCCCAAATTCATATTGAATCCCTAATCCATAAGACCTAAAGATGTGATTAAGTGAAAAGAAACTCATTGGAGTGAAGGGGATGGGCCTCCTCTAATCAGTTTTTTGTCCATCAAAGAAGTGAAGTTTAAACATGAAGAGACAAAGGATGTGCAAGCACAGGATAAAGGCCATGTTGGACATGGGGAGCAAACAGCATCTTCCTAAGGCCAAGAAGAAACCAATGCTTGCCGATATCTTGATCTCAGACCTCCAGCCATTGGCAATATGAGAAAATTAATTCCTGTTGTTTTATCCAGACAAAAACCTAGCAGATTAATAGTGCTAATTACTGCTGCAGTAATTTTACAAAGGAAAAAGTGAGGTTAAGCAGGTTAAGCACCCACGTTCCATGGCTCATAAGAAATAGCACCAGAGTCAAACTCTGAGCTAGCTGGCACGAAGCCCACATTCTTTCCCCTACAGAGTATATTACATCTAAATAATTGTCACTTTCATTCCCTAGGAAGGGATCTCAGGAAGGAGAAATGAAAGTCTATGCTCATTACATACGAGATAGGAGGCACCGAATCTAACCTATTAATAAAAAATATCTCCATATGGAGTAGAATTAAGATGATTTTTAGAGTTTCAAACTCAGCCTTCAGGACTTTTTATCTGTATAAATTTAAGCAATTACTTCACTCTTCTAAGCTGCTGCTTTCTCTTTTCTGAGCTATAAAAATATATAGATCTAAACACACAATTGTTATGATAATTAGAACTAGTATAGACAAGTAAGTGTCTAATAAGTATCAGCTCATGTGTTCTGTGTCCTGAGGACTCATCCAGAGTACTCTATTGGGAAGGTACATGAGGTTTTTAAAAAATTGATAAAGGATTTTCCAATATCAACAAGTAGCTTCAGGGAGCTACTAAGGGCTACTCTTTTTTAATGTGTGTTTGAGTATGTTTGGGGGGGGGTCAGGTGGGTATATGAGGACATGTATATGGGGAGCCCAAAGATGACTTGGGGTGTCATCCTCAGGAACACTATCTATTTCTTCTGAGACAGGGTCTCTCCTTGGTTTGGAGTTCACCAGTTAGATGAGAATGGCTGGCTAGCAATCTCCAATGATCCTCCTGTCTCTACCTCCCCAAGACTAGGATTATAAGTGCACACCACCATGCTTGGATGGCTTTTTTTTTAATGTGTATGTGTGTATTGCCTGCATGTATGTAAGTGCACCCGTGTCATGCAATGACTGCAGAGGACAGAAGAAGGTTTTGGATCCCCTGGAACTGGAGTTACAGACAGTTGTGAACTGCCATGTGGGTGCTGGGATTCAAACCCAGGTCTTCTGCAAGAACAGCCAGTGTTCCTAACGGCTGAGCCATCTCTCCAGCCCCTTTATTGACATTTTTATGTGGGTTCTGTGGATCAAACTCAGGCACTCATGCCTGCAAGGCAAGCACTTTACTGACTGAGTTATCTCCCTAAACCTGATAACAGTTATTTTGGAGAGACGTAACACATAATAATGCCTTGAGTATGTCAAGGTCTAAGGAAAGTCTGCCTTTCTCCTGGCAGCAGTCTTCAGTGAGTAGTAGTAATAGAGAAATGGAATGCTGTAAGTGAAAATCACAAGGAAAACCAACACGAAAATCTCTCCCCAGGAATTAGTTCAAGAGTTCCGCCTAAAGGGCATAAGCATCTTCTCGCCTCCATAGCCTCTAGCTTCTCAGGCTGCTGTATTTATCTCATTGGCACTATATGCATCCTCTACCCACACCCTCACTTCACCAGACCCCCACACAATTTCCAGGTGTCGCAGCCCAGATTTGGAACTTACCACTGGAGGCAAACACACGCAGAGCCCAGAGACAGTGCAAGAGGTTATGGCTATGAGACAGGTTTTTCCTGGCCAGAATCAAGGTCACATCAAGTGCTTCCAATTCCAATGCCTTCTGTCCAAACTTCTTATCTAAGGACACAAATCCATCTCTCTGAGTTGTGTTTCAGAGTCATTTCTGAAGATTTCACAATGTATGAAGGAATAAAGGAAAAATGGCAGAGGGAGGAGGAAAATCACAGCCAAAGCACAGTTTGACCTAATTAAGAATGTTCCCAGGCCAGGCATGGTGGCACGTGCCTTTAGTCCCAGCACTCGGGAGGCAGAGGCAGGCGGATCTTTGAGTTACAGGTGGGGCTACAGGGAGACCCTGTCTCAAAAAGACCGAAAAAGAAAAAAAGAATGTTCAAAATATGTGCCCATTGGAACCAAATGAACCTGAGGAACTAAGTCTGGGTGCCTGCATTTACATGAAGGCTGTGGGTTCTGTGACTTCAGGCCTTATATCTAAAGATGCTTCTGGTTGTCTTCATATGTATCCATTTCTTTAAGACAATTCTAGAATTAAAAACATTTAATTAAAACAGCATTCAAATGCAATGCATAAGCTTTGATGAGCTCCTATGTTTTGACTGGGTTTAAATATGCAAAAGATAGTATAGAACTTTTGGAGAAGTTAGACCAACAGTTCAGGTAGTAAGTGGTTGCGTTTTCACTTATGAGAACGTTTCATAATAAAAAAAAAATCAAAGCAGATTTTTAAAACTAGCTAGGCATTATTTATCTCTCGCATTGTTAGAAAACTTTCTTTTTAAATATCTCTAAATGTTTGTTTCAAATAACCTGGCATCCAGTGCTGCAGATAAGTCGTTATCATTTTTATAATTAAGAAAAAAAGAATTAACAACAAGGAGGAAGCACCATTTAGTCTCTGCTCTTGGTACCCAGCACCAGCTGACAGTGTATCTAGTTGCATTTGTATGTGGCCTTTCCAAAGTGTGTGGCCAAATCATCATGTTTGGTTTTCTTTCAAATTTCACCCTTATCAGATTCATAGCAATATTTTTCTTCCATATGCCTTTCTGTGTTTCACTTAGCGCAATGTCTTCTGGATAAATCCCATTAGGCTCCATTCTACATTCTTACTACATTTTCTTTAAATCAACTATCAACAGAGAACTTACTTGGTTATTGTAAATAGTGCTGCAATGAATGGGGAAATGCAGAGATCTTTAAAACTGGTCATTTCCTGCCCTTTGAGAATATATTCAAAAGAGAAACTGAAACATTTCTGAGTCGTATGGTAATTCTATTTTTATTTTTATTTTGTTTTGTTTTAATTTGTTTGCTTTGGTTTGGTTGGTTTGACACAGGGTCTCATTAGCCCAGTCTGGCCTTAAACTCACCATGAACTCCTGATCCTCCTGCCTTTACCTCCCAAGTGCTAGGATTACAGGCATGCACCACCACATTCAGATGGTGGTTCTGTTTTTAATTTCTTTAGACTTCTCTGTCATTTTCCATAATGGACATGCCAACCTTCAGTGCTACAAGCAGTGTACAACTTCTTCTTCATGCCTTCATGCCAACATTTATTCTCTCTTCTGATAAGCCATCCTCACTAGCATAAGGGAATAAATACACAGGGATAGAGAATGAAACAACTTTCCATTGCCTAGAAGGGCTGAGCAGAGGAGACAGGGGAGAAGTACAGGTCAAAAGACACAGAACAGCAACCATGTGGGGTGAGCACATTTAGATCTCTGTATACAACACAAGGATCAGAGTTAACAAAACTGCACCATTCTAAGCATATAGATTTCAGCTGCCACTGTCACAAAAATAGTGTGACACTATGACAGATTTGTCCATCTGCTTTTCCAGAGTAATGACTTCACTGTCTCTATGTATTTTGTAATGTCATAGTGAAAACACAATAAAATTTACTGTAAAAAAAAAAAGGGTCAAGGTTGCAGAGATGACTCAATTACTGTTCTCTGTGTGTGTGTGTGTGTGTGTGTGTGTGTGTGTGTGTGTGTATGACTTTTTTGTGCTGTGCAGGTAACAAGTAACTCAGATTACCAACAGCCACAATAAAAGTCATTCATAGTTGCATGTGTGTTTATAACCCCAACACTGTGGGAGACAGACAGGAACATCCCAGGGGCTCACTAACCAGTCAGTCTAACCTAATTAGTGACCTCTATCTCAGCAAGAGGGTCTATCTCAAAAAAATAATGTGGCGAGAAATTGAGGAAGACACCCCACATCGGCTTTTGGCTGCCACATGTGTGGACACATACTTGTGCATATACACAAACACATATAACACATACACACACACACACACACACACACGCACACACACACATGAAGGCCTATCAAGTCAAGTTTGTATTCCCAAAAGTCCTTTGAGGTTTGTCCACCCACTCAAGCCTAGTTAACCTACCTCACTTGGGAATCACTGCCCTGGTGTCTCTCTCATCTCTCATTCTCCTCTGAAACCCAAATGACTTGTTTGTCAGGCTCCTGGCCCCACATGCTAAGCACATGACATAATGTCTCATGTAATCTTCCTAGCAACTCTAGAATTAAATTCTCTATCTCCATTTTAGACATAAAGAAACAATGGTTCAGAAGCTTTAAGTAACTTGCCCAAGGTCACACAGCTAGAAATTATCAGGGCCAGACTTGAAACCTAGATCCCACTTCCCTGCCTGCACTGTCTATGACTAGGGGATATATCAAGTCTCTACTCTCTTTTCCTAGAGTTCACTTGGCTGACTCAGCTTTGCTGACTTTCTCCTGTTCTTCAAGTTTCAGCTCAAATGTCCCCTCTCCCTGACCATGCCATCTTAGAGCAGCATCACTCTTTCTCTTCCTTGAGGCAGTGATCAGAGTCTGCTATCATCTAGTTAATTATTTGCTAACCTTCTGGCCTGCCCCACTCCGTGTGAGCAGGCTACTTTACTGTATTGGTCACAGCAACATTTGCAGTGCACAGAAGTTATAACCACTGCATAGTTACTAAATGGATTTTGTTAAATTTGTCAGTATTTGTCATCAATACTAGGTAATGCCTATTTCTCAGTCTGTGAAATACTGAATGGACTCAAAGCAAAGATCCAAACGTCTGAAGAGTGTGCCAGAACCATTGGCTGGAGAATCTAGCAGGAAACATCAAAGGTCCAGCTTTCAGATGACCCGGCCTTCTCAATCGTGATCTCCATGATATTCATCTCATCATTTAAGCTCAAATGTTACAAGCATTTTGCAATGTTTACGTGAATTCTGAATATTTAGGTTAACGAACTCTATTCCAAGAAGTTCCAGGAATCTAAGAAGGTATTTCAAGATCCTCTATGGGGAAAGAGAAATAGTTTTTAAACAAAAATAGAAAGAATTTTTGACTTCCACATCCCTTCAACTAGGAAGCTCTATTTCTATGACTTTTATAATGTGTTGAATAAATAGTGCTCCCCACATCAAATTCATGTCCACCAGACTCCAAGCTGTCCTAGCTGTCATCTTATTTGCAAATAGTCTTTGTAGACTGGATTAACTAAGGTGAGGTCATACAGAATAGAATGGGTCCTAAATCTTCTTACTGATGCCCCTGTAGGAAGAGGAGAGGACATGCAGAGAGAACATCCTGTAAACATGAAGATAGAGATAGAAGTCATGCATCTACAAACCAAAAAGCACCAGAATCCAAGAGAAAAGGAGAAATCGACTCTCTCAGAGCCTCCAGAAGGACTATAGCCTTCTGGGACTTGGCCTGCTGGAACCTGGTTGGAGATTTACACAGTCCAGAATTATGAGAGAATATATTTCTCCTATATGATGCTATCTAGTTTTTGGCAATTTGCTATGGTAGTTCTAAAACTCTAACGCACAAGCCAGGCATGGTGAGACATGCCAGCAATCACTTGTGAGGTGACAAAAGGGTCAAGAGTTCAAGGTCATTCTTGGCCATATAGTAAGTTCTCAGTCAGCTTGGGCTGCATGAGGTTCAGTCTCAACGAAAAGAGAGAAAGAGCTAATGCACATATAATTTACTTTCATGTGAGATATAATTTGTAAATGTTTAATTTGAATGATTAGAGAATGACCCATCTTTTCCCCCACTTGACCCTGACCATTCCTCTGGGGCTCATGCCAGCTGTGACTATAACTTTGATGTCTCATCATTTATTCCTAAACATCATACCTTGATTAGCTGAAATTTAAGTTAAAAAAATAATTTACCTTGCCAAACATGATGACACACACTTGTAATCCCAGCATGCTGGAGGCCGAGACAGAAAGATGGCAACAAGTTCAAGGCAAAGCTCAGAAACATGTAAGATTCTGCCTTGAAATAACCAAAAATAAAATTACCTCCTGAGTCTGGTATTCTACCACCACCAGGACACCTAGGACCTCCCTGCTGCGTCCTGCCAAGAGCTTCCCCAATTGCTCTAATGGTAACAATTTCAGAAGTATCCTTGAAGTATTGGTACCTCTTAAGCCAATTTTGGCCAGCAGCCTAAAGAGGGGTAGGAGGATGTCATAGTCAGGAGAAGCTGCCCTTGCCGTGTCCACCAGAGTCTGGAGAAGGGCTTCACTGCCACCTTTGTTGATCATGTAATGAATCCTCCGGTCTGTGCCTGGGAAGAAACCAAAGCAAAGATGAGCCACACATGATAACCTTCCGACCCTAGAGCAGCCACAGACAATAAGCCTCAGACATAACAGCCAGAGGAAGAGAAAAAGTTGGTTTGTTTCACCAAAAACCCCAACTGGAGAGTTCTTAAAGTGACTGGTCTTCAAGTTGTGCTATCAACTGAGGGAAGAAAGGTGTGAAATATCGCAATTGTGCAATGTTTGAGAACTTTGGTATGCAGGAGCTATAATAAACAGAGCAAGAATCCAAGCCCCGGGAGCCTGTTGAGTCTCCACTGATGTATACACATATATGTATATGTTACATATTAGACATATGGGTAACATCATCATATGCTAAATGTCCTTCTGCTATAGACTTGAATCATCAGGAAAGGGGTTGTGTCATATCTAGAATAATTTTATTGAAGGTATAATGATTTTCTAATTCTGGTCTTTAGCAACTAAAGTATAGAAATACAGAAATCACTGGAATAATCCCCTAAGAAACAAAATGTCCAGACACACTAAGGGTTTGTGAGGAGTCCTGAGCAAGGATGAAGAACTGGAGGGAAGTGGCCCTGCCACTGGAGGGCATCAAAGTCAATAGTATGGCCATGATATGATGGGACCCTTGAGGCTCTAGCTCTGGTATATCGGTCAGTCTTAATACTGCCTAGTTGGGCTAATTCTTTTCTCATTAATGCAGATGATTTCTAGGTATTAAATCCTGTCATCTCATTTCTGAAAATGTAAAGGGCTTACCATACTTGAAGTCGACCTCCAGCCTCATAGTTCTGTCTCCACAAGACATATGCATGAAGGCTCTAATGCCTGGTTCCTCCAGGAACCCCAGAAGAGGGAAGAGGGAAGTGATGGAAACAGCTAAAGAACATCCCTCCCAGATGAAGACATAGGACCCTGGAGGCCATTGGTGCTTGTAGAAGACAAACCATAGCATAATCACCCAACATCTACTTGCCTCCTAAGTTCAGGCCACTGTAGGGTAGGTAACAAGACTGAAAAGCCCAATACAATTAGTCCATTCTATTTCTTGTCTTACCAACCCAAGGGGAAAATATGATGGGTGATTCTTCCTCACACAGGAAACTTGCAAAAATCCCCAGCCACATGGTTTCCTGGGAAAAATCACAGCCAGGTCTATCCCCCATCCAGCATATGATTGGATATGAGTTTAGCCTACTCACCAACAGAAAGCAAATCTCCAAGGACCTGTAGGATGGCCAGGATAGAATCCTTGTCAGAGGAGCTCTGCAATGAGAACACAGGCAGACATCTTGACAAGGAATACAAGAGGATAGAGGTGAGCTGGTGAGAGAGGCAAAAAGAGCAGACAGGGCTCTGCTTTGTTCCACTGAGTAAGACTCCACACAGTGAAAGGATGGGCACGGGGAAATCTTCCTTATGAGAGGACTCACTAAGATAAAGGTTTCAGGGGCTGGGCCTCCATATGGAGTATCAGGAACCCTCTTTGGGGATCTATTTCATAATAGCATCATCATGGTATGTGCACACATACATACACAGACACACACACACTCACGAATTGATGATTGACATGGAGACAGAAAGCTAAAGGGGCTTTGTGGGCCAAGCTCATAAGGACTTTGTATATTTCAGTAGGCTTGAATTGATTTCAGTGGCGATCACAGGGAAGAAAGAGAAGCCCATCAAAATTTTCCGATGCAAAGAAGGCGTTGGCAAACACAGACAAACTTTTTTTCTCTAGATAAGTGTAGAACAGTAAAGATCCTGTTGTGGCATTGTTCTCAGAGATCCTACTCATTCTTTTTTTTTTAAATAGATATTAATTTTATTTTATGTGTATGAGTATATTGCCTGCATGTATGTAAGAGCACCCATGCCATGCAATGCCCATAGAGGTCAGAAGAGGATGTTGGATCCCCTGTAACTGGAGACATGGACCATTGTCAGCTGCCATGTAGGTACTGGGAATAGAACCCAGGTCCTCTGGTGTTCTTAACCGCTGAGCCATCTCTCCAGCCTTGATCCTTGTAATTCTTGACATCATCAATTTCTACACAAAAGAGAGCCCTTTGAGGGTAGGAGAATGTACCAGGTACCCTGAAGTAATCCATACAGCAGTTCCAGAAGTATAACCCAGTCTTGTTTCCAAAAGTCAGACCAGTGGTCTTTGAATGGTAAGGTTGGAGGGGGGTCATTTTTAAATTTTTGTTTATTTTATTTGGTGCACTATTTATGATAAAGTCTTAATGTTCCCATTAGTAAGATTCAAGATCCTCGCCATCATCACAGACTTCAGTAGCTCTCCATTACATGGTAAAGGACAAAGCTATAGGATCATCCAAAGTTCTCCATGATCTCTTTTGATACTTCTATCCTCATTATTGATTTTAACATTCCTTCCAAAAACAGATGTTTCAGGGGCTGGAGAGCTGGTGCAGTGGTTTAGAGCACCAGCCACTCTTGAAGAGGGCCCGGGTTCGAATCCCAGCACCCACATGTTGGCTAACAACCATAGGTAACTCCAGTTCCAGGGGCTCCAAAGCCCTCTTCTGACCTCCACGGGCTTTGCACGACATGGGTACACTTACATAAATGCAGGCAATATACTCATATGCATAAGATAAAAATAATAAATAGAACAAAAAATAGATGTTTCAGAACCCACCCCCACCCCCAGGTACACTTCACTGGCCTCCTGAAGTGCGCCAATGGCCGCGCTTTGAAACCTCAAGTCGATTTTGAAATCCTAGACGATCTCTCTCACCAGCCTTTGGAAAGGTAGCTTCTGGATGAGCAGCTTAGTTGACTTCTGGTAAAGACGAATATCTCGCAGAGCCAAATCCTGGGCCTGAAGTGTGGCTTCTTCACCCTGCCGGTAGAGGGGGCACTTTTCCGGGTGGCTTTCGCGGCCAGCTGTTTGCACAGGGCCTTCTGTGGACTTGCGAGCTGTCTGCTTGGTTTGGGTCATTTTCTCTCACCCAAAGCAGAAGTCAAGTGATATCCAATCCTCTGACGGCAGCGCTGCTGTCAGTGCCCAAAAAACAGCCGCAGTCGCGGAGCAGAAGACGGACAGCGACGCTCCTCTAAAGAACCACCGAACCACTCTGCACTCTTCATTTCAATTTTTTAATTTTTCTAAGTTTTGAGACACGGTCTCCCTGTAGTCCCAGGTAGCCTGGAACCCACTCTAGACCAATCTGGCCTATATTTCACAGACCTGGCTCCACCTCACGAATGCTGGGATTAAAGGTCTAAACCACCGTGCCTGACCCTACGATTGTTTTATTTTTTCTGTGTCTTTATTTTTATTTTCATTTTTATTTTTTGAGGGTTTCTAATAATGAACATTCTTAACGTGTAAAGAATACAAAATGAATTTTTTCCCAGAATATTTCAAAGGATGGCGCCAGTCTATCATTGTCTGCAAAGCATTTCACATACTGTTACTGTTTTTTTTTTTAATGTCTTCAATTTCAACCCCTGACAGTTGAATAAATATGCAATTTTTATTTTGGCATTCAAAAAAAAAATAGATGCTTCAGCATTATGGAATCACTTGCATATTCCTGCCCAAGCCATGCAATCTCTTGCTGTGTAAGTATGATCGTACAGTTCCCTCTTCTGGCAGCTCTTTCCCCGCCTGTCAGCCTGGTCAACACTGGCTCATCCTTCACATACATGGTGGCCCCCATGAGATCTCCATCTCTCCCACAAGCCAGGTGGCCGATACCCCCTACCTCCCCATCACTCAGTCTCAGATTTGACAGTACACTTACCCTATGGGGTTGGCATCTAGGTGCCATCTTGCTTCTGATCCCACCTCGACTAGATATTAGAATCTTTAGCAAACAATACCTGGCACAGGGGCTGCTTCATAGAAAATGCAAATACATGATTTTGGAATGGAACCCAAAAGAACTCCAAGGGAGTCGTGAAGTCCAGTACCACCTAGTACCTTCCAGGAAGTCATACTTCAAAACACTCAACAAGGCTATTTGCTCCAAAATAAAATTCAACAGGGTATCCAAAACTATAGTAATTAAGTTAATTTTCTATTTTTAAGTATATGAGTGTATTGCCTGCATATACGCAAGTGTACCCGTGTTGTGCAATGCTCACAGAGGTCAGAAGAGGACATCAGATCCCCTGAAACTGGATTTATGGACAGTTCTTAGCTACCATGTGGGTGCTGGGATTCAAACCCCGGTCCTCTGCAAAAGCAGTCATCTCTCCAGTCCCAAGGTAAATATCTTAATACTATTTCTTTTTATTAATCAAACCTAATGTAAAAAAATCATGATGGTCTAAATATCAAAACCAAATTGAGTAACTCCTATTCTGGGTGGAAGAGTCCTCTAGGATTCCCCAGCACTTGATATCTAAACTTACCAGGAAGAAGACCAGGTGTAGTCTCACATTTCTCCTGGGAGCTTTGGTATCCATGATAGCTCTGAATATTAATGGACAGTATTACTCTTCAAATGTCAAAACCCATGTCACCCTCCAGCAACCACCACGTACACATGCTCACTGTGCTGGCACCTTCCTCTACTTATTTTATGCAAAGTTGGAAACAGGAGCCAGTGATGTTTTCTAACACTGATCTGTTATTTGGGGGTTTACAGGCCTCCAAACCTTCGGGAAGAGACCCATAGATAATTTGCACTAGAAAAAAAAAAAAAAAAAAAGTCCCCAGAATGCTTTTCCTGCCAACACTGACATTTACGGATCAACCACAATTACATCTGCCTTTCCACAAAGAGAGGAGGTATAAGCCATTTGAAAGGAGGCTCAAATGTTATAACTTTTAAAATGCTAGACTTGCTCCTAATTATAAACAACGAGTAAGGGAACGGATAACAAAGGGGAATGAAAATGTGAGGGAAAGGAAAAGGAAGTGGAGAAAAGAAAATGGAAAAGGTGGAAACTGACCGACGGGGAATAGAGGATCCAGCTCTTACTTCCTCTGCTCAGTTAGTTATGCATTCACCACAAACATCCTTCGGAAGTCATCTGTGTTCTAGTCACCAAGCCAGGCAGTGAGGACACATGTTGATCAAAACACAATCTGCCATCACAGGCTCCAGGCCTGGCAGGGGTAACAGCTGGCAGACAGTCAGGCCCGGGGATGCTAAGGCCTGTGGCAAAGATGAACATGGATGCTGGAAGGACCCTGAGCGTTTAACCCAGCCAGGCCCATGAGTGATGAGTCAAAGAGACCATGTAGAGAGGAGACAGTGGCGTTCCAGCAAAGCTGCAGTCTCATGTTCTCAGAGGAAAGCATGGCAGCATGGTGACACGGGGGTATGAGTCTACATTCCATACGACCAACTGAATAGAGCAGATGGTGCAGGGAATTGTGAATTCCTTTTGGGCAAAAGCTGGGTCTTATTTGTCTCTGTATTCCCATCTCCTGAGGTGTAACAGGCAATCTGTATGTTTTACTGAATTAATTTTTCCAGCTAAAGAATTGCCTGCTTTGTTATAGGGCGCACTAATACTCCCCAAGAACATCCTTGTCTTGCATGAATCCATTGTCTCTGCCAGCAGGGATAGGGAGCCTGCCATATGGTATGCACTAAATCACTAACCCCAAGTTTGTTTTGACCTGTGGCCCACAATATAGGCTGCACACACATCATCCATCCTTCTGTAGTTGCCTCGAGAAAAACTCCGTTTGCTTTAAAGGAGCAGTCTAGAATTGATGGAGGATGCTGATCCCTCTCACCTGCCCAGGGCAGGGTGCCTGGGCAATTATTCTAAGTCTTTCTAGATTTTCCATGATTGGTTTAGAGGTGGGTATCAGTCCAGATCACAAAAAGAAATCCTGAATGGGCTGTCTCTTGGGCAATTCTGAAAATGATTTTTCTGCAAGATTAAAAAAAAAATCCCTATTTTTAGACATTGTTGTATGAAGATATGATCATGGGTCCCAGGTCACACTGTTAAGCCACCAGATCTACACTACAGAAACACCTACGTGTGGGCTTTCAGATAAGAAAATAAATGTCCTTGCTTATAAAATCCACTTTAAGTTAGATTGTTACTAAATTTGGCTGTAACAGCTAAAGAAAGACAATTTTATACCTCTACATGTCCTCTTCCCAAGCACGATGGTCTTAGTAGAAAAGAAATTGATTTTACAAATATACCAGAGAATCACGCCATGCCAAAGAAACAAAGAGACAGTACCTTCTTACAGATGTTGAGTTCAGGCTGTTCTCACTCAACGCTCTGCCAGAATGCATCAACACAGCACTGCTTTTCTTTAAGTAAAAATTATGGCAATCAGTGGAGAAAAAATGCCCCACAAAATCTCAACTGGCATTAATTTATGCATTGCTATATTTACCAATAAATATTTTATACTATTTAGAAGAATAACACAAAGCTGTTATCTCACCCACAGTAATAATAAATGAGCAATTAAAGAAGACAGGATGTGATGTGCCTCAATTTTCCTTTAATGATTCTTTTGAATGAATCATTGAGTAATCCCCTGTTGTTTAAGACTTTCCTATAAAAAATGGATCTGCCAAGCTTTCAGGGAGAGGCAGGCAGTTGGAAAAACA